TCTTGAGATGTAAACAGTAAATAATTTTTAAAACTTATTTTAATTCATATGTTTACACAATGCTGGTTTAAATTACTGGTATAATTTTTTTTTAATATGAAAGGAATTGATTTATATATTTATTACATTTTACATCTGATAATTACGAAAAAATTAAACTTTTTAACGAAAAAAATAATTTGCACACCTCATGCCTTCCATGTACATAAAACCACTATGTTAAATATTATATATTACATAAAATATAAAAATCACAAAACTGCACATTGAAATTACAGCTTATTTAAGTTTACGATAAAATTATTAATCAAAAATATTATAAAATGTTGAAAATTAATCACAATTTTATATTCAAAATGTTCAATTACAATTTATTAAAAATCAACTAAGAAATGGAAAAAACAAAATTTCTCACACTAATTGTAATGCCCGGTTTGTATTATTCCAGTCCAGCGTTACATTCAACCACTGGACTGGAACAATTTAAACCGGGCAAAGAAGAACACATACATAAAATTCATGTAAGTAACTTAATATTTTTAAACGAATTTTTTCTAGTTGATATATAAATTATTTTTTATTACTACATTTAATATTACAACAACAAAAAAATGGATTATTTTGTGTAGAAAAATAATTTAATTATTAAAAAATTGCTTTATTCAAACTTTCGTGAGACATTATACTAAACTGATATATAAACACGGCTAAACACTCACATGTATTCGTCCGGTGGCGGCACCGACTAGTTTCGAGCCCATCGGGGGCCCTTCATCAGGATGAGTGGTACTGGTATTATTTCGCGGACGCGGCCCGTCGCTCATGAGCGTGTATATACGTGAATGTTTAGCCGTGTTTATATATCAGTTTAAAAATTTCTTTCCCTGTTTTCTTACTTTTGTGGCTGTCATTGATAATGATTAAAGTAATATGAGTGTTTAGTTTTAGTGAAATAAATTGTTATTATAACGTAGATTATATATAACGTTACACTTCATTTACAATCGGCTAATTTAATATCGGTTTGGAAAGAAAATATATTAAAAAATTAAATATATCGAACACACTAACAACTATACAAAAGCCACTTCGTTCAATTCGAAAAGTAATAATATCTTTGTACAATTTAGTCAGTGGAAATCGACATTTACTTAGATTTATAAAAAAAAACAAATTAAAATTAGAAGAGTTTATAAATATATCAGGGTAAAATAATTCTTGTCTCTATATCAAAAACTTTATTGTCATTTATCTATATTTAAAACACACAATTTTAAAAACACAAAAGCAATAATATCACTTTAAATTTCTTAAAAAAAATACAAAAATCACATTTAATAAATTAAAATATTTTTAATCTGTGACAAATCAAATTTATTATCTATTTTATATTCCGTATCTATACGAATCATAGAGAAATTTTTCCAAATCGATATTGAAATATAAATTAATTGTGAATACACAGCACTGTAGTGATATGCGTAACTGAGCTTTTAAAAAGTAAATAAATTGTTTTATACTAACACTATTATGACGTACGTATAAAATATTATTTATCCACTATTCCTCGCGAGGTGATTCTGTCATCGTTTTGTTGTAGCTAATATAAACGGATTCGTATAAAAAATATTGTCAATCGTTTTATTTATTATAATCCCAAAAATAACTGCAAATTTTTTTTTATTCTATCTGTATTTAGTCTTAACCTAACTAGAATAATAATAGTACTATGTATATTATCACCATCATCAGCTCACTATACGTCCCCACCGAGCGGCTCGGAGCCTACCCTAAGTTCGGGTGACTAGGCCATAGTCAACCATGCTGGCCAAGTGCGTGTTGGCTTCACACATATCTTTGATTTCTTCTCAGATATGGCGGGATTCGAACCAAGAACCTGCAGTTTACAAGACAAGTGCTTACTCTGAGCCACCGACGCTCGTTATGGATATATGCAACTTTAAATGGAATTTTCCATGCGAGTTTGAAAAAAAAAGGTCGTATTCAATTTACTCTTTATGTAAATAGTAGCCGTCGCCTGCGACTCCGACGCTGCGGAATTAAAAAAAAAAACTAAATTTATAGTCTACGTGTTTTTCAGATTATGTTCTACATCTATGTCAAATATCCAGATGCATTCAACCGTTCTGGAGACGCCTTCAAACATCCATCCATTTAAACATTCGCATTTATAATATTTGTAAGATTGTAATGTAAATAACACTGCAGATGTTTACCACCAAAAAAAGTCTTCCTGAGACCTCTCCTCACTTGTGCCCCGAACACTCCATCTAAAAGGTATGTATGGTTATAAATATATAACTTGCTATTTTACAGCTGTGTTAGCTACGGTATGAAAAAAATCATAAGATTCGATTCAACAAAATAGTACGGAAACGTTCAAAATTCGTGCGCATTTAAAATAGCACACACAAACGTTGCCTTGAGCTTAAGGTCAACTGATCAACTGCAAATCATGCGCAGCATATTACGTCATAGTTTTTCATGTGACGTCATTCAGTTCGGAACACGTTAGCTCCTGAAATTCGGGGCATTTAGTGTTTAACTTTTATATATTAATATTTCAATATTTCGTATATATTCTTGTTGTTATTTATATTTTTTTTTATTAATTTGTGCGTAACGCTAAAGATTGTATGATAAAGTTGTTCGCGACGCGCCATTATAAACTTTTTACAAAAATAGCATTGTGATTTTTGTTGTTTTGTAGTGACTTTTTATATGTAGATGAGATATTTTAATTAAGTGATATTGGTGCAGAAGTTATTTGAGAAGATGAAAGGTAACTTTTTTCCTTTACTTTTTAAATATTAAATGTTTGATATGGTGTCAAATTTCTGTTTCTTTCCATTTATTTAATTTTATTTAAAACGCTAAATACCCACAAAGTTATTTTTTGTAGTTTTAGTAAAATTTCATTTAAGGAATTTCACGATTAAAGTAGTAATTGAAAATTATCTGGAAGACAATTGTTTTCTTGTCTTCTGAGTGCATAATATCCCATTGCTTTTTTATAAGGAACGACTTTTTTTGAAAAATAAAAAGAAACGACAAATTATCTATATAGGAGGTAGTGGCCATAGTTATTAATATATTAGCCATATCATTTAATATTTCGATTGAAAATGTAATTTTATGAAAATTTTGAGTTTGTAATTTTGTGAGAAAAATAATAATAATAATAATAAAGTTTTATTGTACATTCAACAAATCTGGTTCATTATAACCTTGGCTCCTTTACTAGGTCTCCCTGTATTAAAGGAGCCAATGACTTCCTATGAGTTACATTGCGTATGTACAATTTTTAAAAGTTGAGCAATAATTTAGTAATCTAAAAAGAACAAACAATAGTAACTAGAAATTATATAAAAAAAAAGCTAAATTAGTTAAAAATTAATAAATGTTTAAGTGTACCAATGTGCGTGTATGTGTTGGGTGTTTGAACGGGGTGTATGTGTGTGTGTGTGTGTATGCGTGTGTGTGTGTATGCGTGTGTGTGTGTGTATGCGTGTGTGTGTGTCTGTGCGTGTGTGTGTGTGTTCGTGTGATTACATAGAATTGTTAATTATGACATATTAATGATTCACATTCATTATAATCCATGTGTTTTAACCATTTATTAATGACTTTTCTCATGTGAAATGATTTCAAACCTCTTATATTATGCTTCTGATTAACAGTATTGTATAAATAGGGAGCCTGGAACTTAAACTGTCTTACAGCAAAGGAACTTTTAACAGCTGGGAGATGGAACTTTTTAATTCTTGTACTTTGTAGTGATAGTGAATAGTTTCGTATATTAATAATCGGTTAGGGAAAAGTTATCCATTATTGTTATGTAAATTTTGTCATATTTTGCTATAGCAAAATATAATTAAACATATAGTATAATCGGAATTTAACTTAAGCTTAAATATAAAATAATTTCCATTATCCCTGTGATTTTTCGTGATCGATATTTTGACAAAGATCTAGAAATGTGCGATTTGAATTTTCAACATCAAAAATTTGTTAACCGTATATCTATCTATCTATCTATCTACTCAGCCATGAGACGCCCACTGCTGGGCATAGGCCTCCCCCAAAGATCGCCACGATGACCGATCTTGTGATCCTGGATGCGGGTGGCACAAGAACCGTATATACGAAACCAAAATTAAATAGCAAAAAAAGTACCTCTAATTACTTGGTAACATACAAACGAATTGATAACCTTCTTTTTGAAGTCGGCTAAAAATTACCACGCAGTATCGGGACCATAAACACAATTCATAATTTCAGGCGCTCGGATTGAAATTTGCCTTTTAAAAAATAAAATAATGCCATTTTTTATTACGTTCATTTTAAAATTAAGAACAGCCAAAGATTTTTTTTAGTGTAAACTGTTTAACTTTATGAGGAGGATAAATCTACAATTATATGAGCGAAACATTACGTGATATCGATCACTAGAGCCAACTACTTAAAATAATGGATTTCTTATACCACCATATAATTAATATACCTAAGAAAACTGAATTTTACAGTAAAACCTTTATGCTTAGATGAGCCATAAAATAGGTTTATGTCAAAAGATTTTAAGACAAGTGATAAAATTATTAACTTATCATTGAATGCGTGAGACAAGCCGTGTTTTTTATTTAATTGATTTAAACGGTTTTAGAATCTTAACAAAGGATTTGAAAACAAACCAAGCGTCTGCCATTTTGCAAGGCTGTGCGCTTGCGCTACACCCACCCTCCGATCAATAAGTCCGCCAACGTAAAAAGGACAAATGAAATTTGACTAAAAATTGTTAACTTGTTAACGGTATATACGTGAGACAAGCTGTGATTTTTAATTTATTGATTAAAATGGTTTTAGAACCTCGTCGAAGGATGTAAAAAAAAAGTTTGCCATTTCGCAAGGCTGTGCGCTTGCACCACACCCAGGGTGGGTTCGATAAGTCTGGTTATAAGTAGGGTAAATAAAAGATGGTATAAGAAGCGATGAAAATTTTATTAATTTACAAAACAACAAAAACAAATACAGTCTTAAATTGCACTAATACTTTAGAAATGCGAGAGCTGGATCATACTTAAAAGCTAAGGAAGAACTTTTCTCCTTTAAAGAAGAACGTTTACTCTTCTTTCTTCTGGTCGCTGGTACCTTCATTCTGGTCCTTAATTTCCTTACGAACAGGGCCAGTTTGTACAATAGGAACTTTCCTTTCGTCCTTGATCGATTCTGGAATAGGCTTCGGAACAGTGATGATCAGGACTCCATCTGAAGACAGTTTTGACTCCACAGCTTCAGGCAGCGTCCCTTCTGGTAGTTCGTATTTTCGAACGAAACGCCGAGAGATATAGCCATGTTCATCTTTCTTCTCCTCATGATTGCCTTCTACGATGATGTAGCCACCCGCAGTCTTCACGGAGATTTCTTCTGGAGCGAAATGCTGAACATCCAAGTTGATTTGGTATTTATCAACGTCCACTTTGATGTTGGAGCCCAGGTCTTTAGTTGCTGCTGCAAGATGACGCCAGGTTCTAAAGTATTCCCTGTTCAGCAGAGGTCCATTGGATACGGTCAGAAAATCGTCGGGTGTCAATCCTAACCCGAAATGCTGGTTCATCAGGCGGCGGGGGCGCCTGAACGCCGCCAAATCATCTATCACTGATGGCATGAAAGACATTTTTCTTTATGCAAAAATTTGCGATTACACTTGAAAATGACACTAGCTCGTTATCAATCGGAATGACGTCCCGGCCCAGCGCGCCCCTCTTATATAGGGCAATGCTACATCTATATGCAATATAAAACACCAGGGGTGCTAAACTATGAAGTCGCATGATTATGAAGTTTTGTCACATTATAATTTTATATTTTCTTAATGTCCTATAAATCATTGATATATGATACACAGGTATATTTATAAAACTAGTGACATTATTAAAAAGTAACGTTGAAGATATTATCAGTTAATGATATAAATTTAATAACATATATAATGTTCATCTTAGTAGAAGTAAAGTTTAAAAAACATCGTATACAATGTGTTTTTTATCTTATTCAAGTTAATTTCTACGCAAATTATAATCTGTATTCCGCCTTTTTAATCCATATTCCATATATATTTTCGTTGGAAATATAAATTTAATAATTAAAATAAAATAAGCGACCAAAGTTGAGCTCCGCTGAACTATCGCTACAAGGTTGATGTCGCCGTACATTCGAGAAGCGTCTGGAAAGCCCTAGCGCCGCCGAGTACATTCTCGAATATTGGCGTAGGTCATGTCTGTATCGCGCATGACGCCGCCCATTATATTACGTGCAATTTTATGACTGTGTTTTCGTTGGTACTAAAATACGTCATTTGTAGTATTGCACAGTTTACTTTATACTTTTTTTTTTAATTCCGCGCGGACCAAATCGTCAACAGGAGCTTGCAAAATATAATTTTTATAAACATTGTAAATGCTATGGTATTTTTAATGCCAACAATGAAGATAATACAACTTATTTACAAACAATTTGTTGTTATTATGACTACATTCTTGAAAAAAAAACAATCAGACTACGAAGAACATTCTTCACATTGTTATCGAAAAACAAACAATTCATAACCGTGGTTTACCACTGCCATACAAAACATATTGTTTTCTCTATCTATTTCAAAGGGTATGAGAGAGAAAACTGTATTTTATGTATTTAAATGTTTAGCAGTGGAATCCAACGGTCATATTTTCAGTGGTACCAAAAGACTATCAATAAAATTAAGTGTGTCGTTTCTTAAATTTAACACTATCTTATTTGATACTAGCTGTTGCCCGTGACTTTATCCACGCGGAATTAAAAAAGTTTAATTAGCCTACGTGTTCCTCCAGGCTATCTTCTACATCTATACCATATTTCAGCGAGATCCTACAGCTGCTTTGGAGATATCTTTAAGCAATGGATAGATGTTATGCATCCATCTAAAAATTGGCATTTATAATATTAGTAAGATAATAAAACGAATTTTATTCCACGTTCAAGTTATAAGAAAATCAGTCGCCAGTCAGAAATTCTCATTATTTGACGACTCATTATTCGCAATCCCCAAGGTACGCCTACACACCTGTATTGATTCCATTACTAACAAAGAGAGTAGACATGATTAATGGCGCATGTGCGGACCACTCCCTTATCAAAAGCAATATCAATTTTCAATATTTCGTAGTCATAGTTTTAGTTTACTAAAGTTGAATTATAAAATGTTATGAATTCGTGTAAATCTGTCTTTAATTTACTTCCATCATCATTATATTAATAGTTTACCAATAGTCCAATCGGAGTCAGAGCCTACCCTAAGTCGTGACTAGGCCATAGTCAACCACGCTGACCCAATACGGGTTAGTTTGCCTTCATGCATCTTTGAATTACTTCGCAGATTATGTGCAGGTTGCATCACGATGTTTTTCTTCAACGTAAGAATGTCACATAAATATACATATGTAAATCGAAAATTGAAAAATATATTAGGTAATTGGCGGGATTCGAACCCAGGACCAGCAGATTACAAGTCAAGTACATTAAACCCTGAGCCACAGTCCTCTAATATTATAAAAGCAAAAGTTTAGATGGATGTATGGATGGATATGTCTCCAAAACGGTTTAAAGGATCTCGCTGAAATTTGGCATAGAAGTAAAACATAATGTGGAAGAACACATAGGCTAATCATTAAGTTATTTTTTAAATTCGCGCGGACGGAGTCGCGGTCGACTGTTAGTGTTTAATATTGTTTTCATTTCATTTGTTATCTGGCTGAAAACACTGTAGGTAAAGAAACGTAATAGTTGAGTCATGTGTTTACCAAACGGAGCGAGGAATATTAACTCAGTCTGGCGGAGTCTGGAATATTAATCAAAAACATTCGACGATTACATAACGTCGTACCTTTTTTTTCTGAAGTAAATTTATTCTTTGTGTGCATTGCGACATATTTCATTACATTTCAAAAAACAATTTTTATGTAGTTGTTTCGAGAATCCCCGCGAGAATAGAGAACGTAATATTAAAAATATATTTTGGTCAACATAACTCAAGATTAATTTAGCTTTCTAGCAATAACAAATAAAACACACACCCTTATCCCTAGGTAGGTAGGTTTTATAACATTTCAAGTGTATCATATATAAAATAGCTAATAGATATCATGGGTTTCTGAGACCGAAATCCCCTTATAAAACATATTGTTATCTCTGTTTTGTCAAAGAAAATGACAGGGATATAATTATATATAATTAGATATGACCGCTTAAGGTTACAGACACAAAAACATTGCATTATTGTAAACAGGTTTATTGACTTTTTAACTGCATGTTTATACAACTGCCAATAACATCGTTGCAATGATTAAAAAGTTCTCGAATGTTCGAAAATTCTAGAGACACACCGATCAATACGCGATTAGTCTGTGTCGGCTCGTACATACTCGTTACATCTGTGTAGCAACTATGCAACCATTTTGTAGGGCATTTTTTACTTCAATATGTATTAGCACGCTATATTTACTCGATAATAACTTTAAAGTCCTCGCCCATAAATAATAAAGCAATCTTTGATACTGTTATATTGTACTAGCTTTCGCCCGCGACTCCGTCCGCGCGGAATTTAAAAAAAAACCTAATTAATAGCCTAAGTGTTCTTCCAGGCTATGTTCTATATGTATACAAAATTTCATCGATATCCGTTCAGCCATTTTGGAGACACAAGAACATCCAAACATACGCATTTACAATGTTAGTAAGATTACCCCAAAAAATATAGGTAGACACTATTTAGTTAAACTTGTTTTAACCCTTTGAATGCCGGTTAAGGATATTATGGACGTCACATTGCTACTTTCGGTATAAAGATTTCATTAATTCATCAACTCAGTTCGCAAGCTCACGCATAATAATGTTTTCAATAGCCATGAATTGCTAAAAATCCTTGCCGGACGTATTTCAAATGATAGATGTATGTTTAAGCTAAAATGTATTTGAAATGATTCTATTTTTTATAGTAAGGCCCATAATGATTATTTAATTATCAATCAATATCAATCAAGTAAATCAAAAACGTTCGAACGACTTACTGTCAGTCGTTTTTGCCAAATTACGATTTTGGGATTTTTTACTTTCATTTGTTTGTGTTTTATGGTTTACTGTTATGTCACCTTATTGTCATTTTGTTAAACATTGTCTTTAATTAAATGAAGTGTTTAAAATGTTAACATGTTAACTCAAATACGTCTACATCATAAAATACCAGTCAAAACATAGTTATTGAATAATATGTTTACATTCCGAAGACGCCGGCCGGCACATTCACGAAATTTCTACACAGTTCGGTTCGGACGTTGCTAAGCAACGACTCATTTATGTTATCGATGTGTGCGTATGCCCGGTCACGTTCACCAATAACAATTCGTTTCGAGAATTTTCTACCCGCTACTAGATGGCGGCACCTAGCGGGTATATAAGCTGCCGCGGTGCGCGTACTGGCATGAATTTTAAATCAAGCAACTGAACGGTGCGAAGTGCGAAGCGCTGCTAAGAGATTTTACCAAGCGATCTTACAAGTGTTTCTTATTTGAGTGTGAAGTAATACAAGAACAATGTCTCTGCTACCATACGTATTGGGTTTCCAACGTCCAAGCCGCCTCTTGGATCAAGAATTCGGCCTAGCGTTGACTCCTGACGACCTGCTGACTGCTGCCGTCAGTCCATTACTATCCAGGGACTACTACAGACCATGGAGGCAACTAGCAGCCGCGGCTCGGGACGTCGGTTCGAGCATCAAAGCCGACAAGGATAAATTCCAGATCAATTTGGACGTGCAACATTTTTCGCCGGAGGAAATAACTGTGAAAACTGCCGATGGTTACATCGTGGTCGAAGGGAAGCATGAGGAAAAGAAAGACGAACATGGTTTCATCTCGCGTCAGTTCGTGCGCAGGTACGCTCTACCAGAGGGTTGCAAGCCCGAGACTGTCGAGTCTAGACTGTCCTCCGACGGTGTACTAACGGTCGTTGCTCCAAGACAACAAGAACCTGCTTTGAAGGATGAAAGAGCCGTGCCTATTCAACAAACTGGACCTGTTCGCAAGGAGATCAAGGATGCCAATAACGAAGAAGCCAAAAAGTAAATTCGGAATTCTATTATCTTCTCGAATAACTATTTAAGTTTAAGACTGATATTTATGTTTCCAAGTTTGTAAAAATTTGTAATCTTTTGTTTACTAATAAGTTATATAACACATTTGTAAAAGGTTTAAAATAAATTCTTTGTTTACTCAAAATATGTGTTTTTCTTTGACTCTTACATTTTTAAGTGTGGTAGGTACACACGAACGATAGAACGAATCATTCCCTGCGTCCTATTTAGTCTTACCATTGAATTGATTTCTATATATAATTGAAACCATTCTTAAATCTCTGAACATACAAAGAACTATTGGAAATAATTGAAATATTAATAACATTAGCCCCGCTAAAGATAATAGATCTCTAAGGAGATTGATGACTAAAAACCTTCACAGTAAAAAAACTTCAATTGTCTATGGTAATCAGTGTCAAGGATTCATAGTAAACTAGATTTTAAAGTCTGCAGCTAAAATAAACAAATAGAAATGATTAGTTTTCAAGCACGGTTATAAAATTGTTAATAATGTTTTTAAACAGTCTACACGGTTTGCGTCCCAAGCTATGTTCCTTTGTAAGATATACAAGAGGAATAAGACCCCAAATTAAAGTTGCGAAAGAAAAATTTCAAATAAGTCTAGACTTACATCAGTTCAAAAGGGAAGAGATTCGTGTAAAAGCCATCCCTGATTACGTAGTTATTGAAGGTAAACTAGAAAGGAAAACGAAACGAGGTGAGGTTATCAAGCAATTTGTAAGAAAATTTAGATTACCAGATGGTTGTGACCCGAAAACAATAAAGTCAGAACTTTCTTCTGACGGTATACTTACCATAACTGCACCAAGAAAAATATATGACGCCAATATACCATCTGAAACTATCGTCCCTATAACTTATTCTGGTCCCAGCAAAGACAATGAATCTATTATACCAGTCAAAGAGACCAAATGTAATTCGCCAGTAAAACAAAGACCAGTTTGTGATGATAAAACTAAGAAATAAATTAATAATAGTGTTATTTTGATTCGATTATATTTAGTGTTGGCAAAAAAAGGCTCATTCACTTAAAAGATGCATCTGAAGAATCTTAATAGGATATTTATAATAAATTAAAATAAAAATGGACATTAAATAAAAAAAATAAGTGGTATGAACATATTATTTCTTTCAGTTTATTTCTATAATCAATAAATTAAATTGAATAATATGACACATTCAGAATATACGCAGAGTAAGCGCTTTCGAGTTTATTAATAGGTATTTGCACTTTGTATCAAAATCAAAATAAACAATGACGTGTACTGTGTACTCCTGATTCTAGAATGTTCATCTCGCTTCACGTAGGATCCAAATACACCTCGGTACATTGCCAAATGATATATAAGCGCAGCTGTAGCTCGCTACTTCAGACTGAATTCAAACACAGTACAGTAAACTACAGAACTAACTAAGCAAATATGTCTATCGTACCTTATTTCATCGACTACGATTTACCAAGATGGCCGCGTCGCCTCTTCGACCAGAATTTCGGATTAACTTTAAGCCCTCAAGATCTGTTATCGGCGAAAATGAGCCCACTGCTTCCTAACTACAATATGTGGTGGCCACAGTCAAAGAATCCAGCATAAAATTCGACAAAGATAAATGGCAGATCAACGTTGACGTTCAACATTTTGCACCTGATGAAATAACAGTGAAAATTTCAAATGGATACATCGTAATTGATGGCAAACATGAAGAAAAGAAAGATGAACACGGCTTTATATCGAGACAGTTTGTGAGGCGTTTTAAATTACCAGACGATATAAATCCAGAAGCTATTGAATCCAGATTGTCTTCGGATGGTGTGTTAACAGTTTTAGCACCAACTAAACCCAGCTTGCTGAAAGGTGAAAGACTGGTTCCCATAGCTCAAACAGGACCCGTAAGAAAAGAAATAGAAGATAAATCTGACGAAGAAAAGTAGTTTTTTATAGTCTGTATATAGACTGACTTTCATGAGACTGTTATTATAATGTTATATTTTTAATTTTAATAAACATCTTGTTTTGTTGACATTTCTATTTTATTATAAGAGAAAAGTTATGTTTATCCGATTGCATCTCTTAGAGAAGAAGAAGAAAAAGAAGAAGAGATACCTTCTAACCTATTAAAGTTCATCCAAACGCATCGCATTTATAATATTAGTATGTAGTAAAATAATATTAAATGGAAATTACTATATGCAAAAAATCTAACTATCTAAATTGTATGTAGATTTTTATTTTGCCTTATACTTTAAAGTCGGCAATATTTCACAAGCGAGAAATTAAATAAAAAAAATGGAAGGCAAAAGAAAAAGCTTTAGTATAGTATAAAAATTAAAATAAATATTTTTTAATTTAAATGCATTGTATTTTGAGCAAAAATCATAACTTAATTTAACTTTTTGCAATACTTCTCGTATAATAGAGCAAATATTTCCTTGCGTTATCTCTAAATGTAAAAGACAAAAATGTTTTCGATCTTTTTAATGCCCTAAGACAACAATATTCGTAAAAACATTCCGGTTGTAATATAGTAGTAGAATAATTTCTATTCTACTACTATATCTTCTAGCTATAACAAACGTCCTATCAGCCTAAATAAATTCAAAAACTATTATCTATTGACAGGATGTTTTTTTACCTTTTTAAACCATTGCTAGCTATATTCTACTTATTTAATCAATAAACTATTTGTTAGAAGATATATCCTTTATATATCTCACCCTACACTCTAAATTATAGTCCGTTTAACATAACAAGTTTTAGAGATGTTGCAGTAAAATTGTGAATTTGTCAAGTCACCCAGATGCACCCAGACGTTGCACCTAGAACAAGTATCGACTAGAAGTTGTGAGAGTGCATTTAACTTAGATGTTGTAGTACAATCGTGAATTTACAATCTTACTAACCAATTGTCAAATGAATAATAACATTTGACCTCTCATCAGACAGCTTGTAATCGAAGTAACGTGTAGGTTTTGCCCTTGTGATGCTTTAGCTTATATGTCATAGAATTAGTTAAAAAATAGTTAAAACATATATTAAAATTAATTTAAAACTTGTTTACGTGTACGTATTTTAACAGGCATTTATACAATCAACTTGTCCTAAAATCCTGTTATGGAAATATTGACCTCGAGCAATTGGAATAGAAAATATTCCGGGTCGTAATTGTTTATTTCTTTATCCAATGGTCGCTTTAGAAAGATTTCCGGGAGTTATATAATTAAAAAATATTTTATAGTATAAAGTAGCAAAAAAGTAAGCTACCAAGTGAATTGGCTAAAATAGCGAAGTAGCTGCTGAAGACAGACACCGCCGATGCTTTGCTTACCTTTAATAAACAGACAAAAAATAATTTTACCGTTTATTACTTTCTAACAATATTAAGATAAGCCTTTATTCGCTGACCAGTACATCTTTTTTTTTGCATAAACTTAAACTACTTTTTTAAAGAAAAAACAAACAAAAATAAAATTTTAGCTTTGTTTTCAGCTTCTAGTTGCTTTGTCAGGATGTCCTTCGACATAGGCCTCCTATAGATTTTTCCATAGTTCCTTGTCCCGGGCTAATCTTATTCTAACAAGTTTTACAGATAAAAAAATGTAATAATAACACATAGAAGCACCGAAATGCACTGTGTTAGGGTAGTAGGTAGGTAGTAATTGTCAAACTTATTTCACTTTGGCTCTATATGTATATATCTTTGTTTTAAATAATGGAAGAACTGCAATTCAGTTTCTAAGTAAATATTATACCTATTAGTAATTTAAAGCATTATAAACATTAATTATAGAATAAACACATTTGAATCCTACAATTTTATCTATAATTTTGATACTTCTACATTACTAACAGTACTTTTCTTATAACCATCTTCAATATCTTGTAAGCTTCGTCCATGAGTCTCTGGCAGTAGAAAAATAAGTATTACGCCATTTAAAACAGTAATCGTAGCGAATATACAGAATAAAGCTAAAACACCAAGAGTCGAAGCTATACCTGGAGTTATTTTAACAGAAATGAACAATAAAAAGTATGACACGGCCGAACTAGCTCCTGACCCAACACCTCTTAATTTTGATGGATATAATTCAGCAACAAATGACCAAGATAATGTCACAATCGCACTACTAAATGTCATATAAGCTATCAACAAAACAAGAGAAACCCACCTCATATTAGGTGGATTTAAATACAAGAACAACAATAAACAATACAGTAATGTACAAGCACCAAAATTGGATACAAAGAATGCAATTTTCCTAGGAATTCGTGTTCCAAAAAAGAATATGGAACTTGCAGCTATAAATCTTATACAATCTGCAACAATCATAAGAATAAACGGGTCATAGTCATTCGGTATTATTTGACCTAAAATATCTTGTGCGTAAAACGTTATAATATTAGCACCACTGAACTGCATCGAGACAGACAGAAAGAAAGTTATCAATAACGGCTTCATAAAGTCTATTTTAAAATAATCCATCACAGTGAGTTCTACTTTCTTTTCATTTTGTTTTTCTAATATCAAATTCAATTCTTTTTCCGCTTCATCAGTATCACCTCTAAACCATTTAAAAACTTTTACTCCTTCATCTATCTTTCCTTTGGCTATTAACCATAAAGGACTTTCTTTTAAAACTAACAGCAGGACAATTGATATAATACTAGGTGCATTGCATATTAGAGCATTCGTTCTCCAGAAAACGAAACCTCCTAGTGCATGATTTATCACAACTCCCAGAGATAATGTTAACGATGGACTAAATAACATTAATCCTCTGTATTTTGGGTCGGCAATTTCTCCTAAATATACTAAAGTTATAGGTCTTATTGCTCCAGAACATAGTCCCGTCAAAAATCTTCCGAGGAGCATAACAGGGTTGTTGCTGGCGAAGGCTTGTACAGTCCAGCTGATGACGAAGAAAAATGCCAGAATTATGTGTCCCATCTTTCTTCCTATTCTATCAATTATTGATCCCGCGCACAAACAGCCGAGGACCATTGAAAGTGGAGTCATTGCCGCTGGAATAATAAAGAAAACATCTTAGTTTATATGTACGACTATCAAACATTAACGAAGGGTAAGAGGAAAAAACTTAATGAGCAGATTCTTACCAATCCAAGAGACGTAATTTTCATCGTATGGGTAATTTTCATCTGCTTTTAGTTGGGGCAAGAGAACTGCACTAAAGCCAAACGCTAGACCTCCGCATAGTGATAGGAATCCTGATACTGAAGTAGCCACTAGCTGGAATAAGAAATAAAGCAACGATTTAATTATGTTTTTGAAACACTACGCTTCCTTTATAATTTCACCCGCCACCATGATATGTGTATGGTTTTTCCTTCGATTTTATTGACATCGCCTGATTCAAATAAATTACGTTAGAGATCCCGAGACTCTCACCAGTTCCGGTTAAGGATGGCCACAGAGAGGATTCTAGTGAGTCTCATATAATTTTGCCTTTTCCCCAGAAGGAAGAGCATCTTTTGAAGATTTCTCTCCCGAAATAAAGCAAGGAGTAAATATATTACAGAAATATAATTTTAATATGATTTTATCTTAGTTCCATGCAAACATATTTCATTAAACAAAAACTAGTAATCTTAAGACTATCAATGAGCAAGTGAACAACAAATGAACATTGAGGACATTCATATTTTTCTGTAAATAAAGATACAAGAACACGTATATATCCCTTTTTATGGTTAAGGTTAATGAACTCTTTAATAACTTTTTTGATGATTAAAATAAAAGAAATTACCTGCTTGATCAAATAAACCCGCTTTATTGTCAACATTTTTTAAACCTTTTGAGATTTTATTTAACTTTTCTTACAGATTAACTTTATTATCCATAATTAATTGATTCAAAATTTACATTTTTCAATTAATCGTAAAACAATATTTACGATATTTCTTTTTGTATTATATACCACTACACTTTTTATCTATCACACAGAATTTCATCATTTAAAATTGTTTTTTGTTCTAATGTACATTAAAATTATAATCTGATGCAAAAACGTTCGCAATATGGAAACTCTTGTGAGCAACTAATACTCGACAGTCCTGTTTCTCAGATATATTATGTTGCTGTTATTTATAAATATCGGACATTATATAAAATGTCTAACAGAACGCAGGTTGTACCCGTTCGTTTTCAAGTTTTCACAGCTCTCAAAAAATAAACTTTCAATGATTAAAATATGTTTTGATTTCAGTTTATTTAAAGTAAAAGATAACTTGTTTTACTAAACTGATATATAATACATATAAACACGGCTAAACACTCACGTATATTCGTCCGGTGGCGGCACCGACTAGTTTCGAGCCCATCGGGGGCCCTTCATCAGGATGAGTGGTGCTGGTATTATTTCGCGGACGCGGCCCGTCGCTCACTCACGAAATTATACCAGTACCACTCATATTGAATAATGATATATGAATCCCATGGCTATGTTTAGTAATTATCTATCCTGTGGGTTTCAACTGACTGTATTGATATGGGTCGAAACCCACAGCCAGAAACTCGTAAGACTTTTTATTATTATATAAGAAAGTATCTACTTGCATATGCAGTGGATATACGTCATATTACAGTCTTTAGTAGGGGTTTAATGGTTATACATTCATACATGCTTGTAGAATAATTCGCATGCAAAATAGTAGATCATTGGAGACTTTCAAGTTTGTTTTAAAGATTTTCTACTCTCTGAAAATTGTTCTATGTACAGTTTCATGTGTAGTGCCAATCTAATTTCAATTGTTTGAACCGTGACATCTCAATTTTTTTTTAAAGTACACAGTGGCATTTTTATATCTAAACTACGTACGATTTAGTGTCTGATTAGTTAGAAAATTAAAAAACATTAGATTTTTTTTTAAGTTAATTCCTACTTTTTGCAAATCATTTCTAAGTTTTTTGTTAATGTTTTGAATTATATTTTACTACGTTGAGTAATGATTCTTTCTTTTGGTACCCCTGTCAAAATTGTATAATCCGAGGTTTGTGACGGCGGCCATCTTGGAATTTTCATATAATTATATACCACTAGCTGTCGCCCAAGACTACGTCCACGTAGAATGAAAAAAACTTAAACAGTTCCCAGCAATTATTCGCAATCTAAACCTTTCATAGAGCTCCACGAACATTTCAAGATCAAGTTAAATTCAGTCGTTTTAGTTTCAGCGAAACTAACGAACAGCAATTGATTTTTATACATATAAGACTTTAGTGTACCATCATCTGTTGGCCAAGCTCTTATCTTTGATGCGCATGTCGGGGATCGTGCAAAAACATGCGCCATTTGATGGCGTCGGCCATCTTGGATTTACAATGACACCGACCAATTTATTAAAGAATATTTTAGTAATACTTGTTACTAGAATATTCTAGTAATACTGATATTACTAGAACATACTTCTATAGTGTTTGGTAATATAAAAATTATCTTTAGGACTAAAAGTGTGTACCATATGAGCAAGCGATTCATATAGAAATCCTATCGCCCTATGCCTACCTGGGCATTTTGCCAATCCGAAAAGTTGTTAGAAATAAAAACAAAGTTTTAACCAAAATCAGTTTATTAGGAAATTAAAAAATAATCAGTCTTAAATAAAACAGAAGGAATGCCTTAAAATGCGGGGTATAGTCGCGTACAAATACAGAATGCAGTTTACTTCTCGGGCTGGTCTCCATTGGCCTGGTCTTTCACTTCTTTACGGACCGGTCCGGTCTGTGTGATGGGCACCTTACGCTCTCCCTGCACCGCTGGTGGCACCTTCTTGGGGGCAGTTACAGTGAGAACTCCATCAGAAGACAGCCTGGACTCAACTGCATCGGCAGTACAACCTTCGGGCAGCGCATACCGGCGTGTGAACTGTCGAGAAATATATCCATGCTGATCCTTTTTCTCCTCGTGCTTTCCTTCGACGACGATGTATCCATCGGCAGTCTTCACGGAAATCTCCTCAGGAGAGAAATGCTGGACATCCAGGTTCACTTGGAACTTGTCTTTGTCAGCCTTAATGCTGGAGCCGAGATCTCGTGTAGCCGCCGCTAGGTGCCTCCATGGACGATAGTAATGTTCCCTGTTCAACAAGGGTCCGGCGGCGACACTTAGCAAATCTTCCGGTGTAAGAACCAACCCGAAGTGCTGATCCAGCAGACGACGTGGTTGATCGATCTCCAACATAAATGGTAGCAGCGACATGTTTGCGTTGTTTTTTTAAGCACTGAAGAAATCGCAGCGATAGCTTCGCAGACAATGTTACCCTCTCGAGAGCTGAATAAAAACTGACGAGCGTCGGAGAACCCAAGCGTATTTATTCGACTCACGAATTCCCGAAGCTTGTGGAAGCTTCTAGGTCCCAGTGGTTCTTAACTGACGGCCCGCAAATAAATAGGTTGCAAGGATTATGTACTATTTAAATATTTTTTATAGTAGTTATTTAAAATCAATGGATCCAAACTTTAAAATTTAAAGTACCAACATATTAATAGGATGTAAATATGTATTCTAGCGTAATGTCGCACTACTAACTAAAATGTTTTAAGTAAATTGGCCTTAATCAACATTAAATTTAAAGCAAACTTAATTTATTTTTAATGTATTAGATTAATTGAAAGTAAGAAAAATCGTAAATAATTACTTCTGTATAAATATTATCAAAACTGCCTTTTCATTGTGTTAAAATTTAATTTTAAGTTCTATGTAGAATAAGAAGAAGTTTAAGTTCTATGTACAAAAGTATGCATTTGATAAACTCCATTTATTTTATTGGCAATTAAATAATATATAAAATTTATTACGAAGTAAGTATTCATTAATATTAAAATAAGTAATTAAATGACTAATTAATTAAACTACCAAAATAATACTATAACTAATACTATAAAATAATACTACTTCGTGCCGGTATGTTGTGTTAATTATTTTATGAACGGCATTTGATTAATTATTTCCGAAGATTATTCAACATATGAAAACCAATTTGCTATGCGATAAAACACTGCATTCACAAAGCAAAATTAAATTCCGGCCCCACTGTTTGTATACCCTGAAGTCTAGATTATTCTGGACGTTTCACGACTGGAAACCTATACAAAATTCTGGACATTTCTCGAAAATTCCTGCCATCTAGTGGTGAGTAGCATCAACACTACATGGCTTCCTAAAAATCATTTTTCCAGGTTAAGCTAGATGTCGACACATAATACTGTGGCGCCATCTATTTTTAAATTATGTCAATGTTACAATTTTCTTTATGAAATTGAGTTTGGGTTTTTATAAACATTTTTAATTTATTTTTAAAATTAAATTTAAAATTAAAACGATTAAAAAAAATTATATGGCAATTATTTTTCTACTATGGCAACATGACAAAGTTAATTTTTTTCGCAAAACTTTGGCCGGGGCTGGGCAGGACGTGGATTTCATTGGTCGCCCTTGTTAAGACTTTCGTACTGTAAAGTAAACGAGTTATCGTTAAGCACTTTGTGCCGGTATGTTGTGTTAATTCTTTTATGAACGGCATTATTACACAAAAAAGTATTTGTGCAGTGATTTATTTTATAAACACCTTGTACATACTAGTGTTTAAGTTAAATTTGAAGAAAAATTAAAAAACTTAACAAACCGACTATAGTGGAGTGTTATTAGTTTTTGTGATAAAACTTAACAAGTGACGATGGCAGACAATTCAAAATTGACTGATGAGGAGTTAGCCGAAATCCGGGAACAATTTGCTCAGGTAAGTTTTATTAATTAGTTAATATCGAATAGAAGATTGTAAAAGTACCGGCCGTGGGTGCAAATAATATATTCGTAATTTGTACACACATTTGCCATCGGATTTGCATTTCAGATTAATTTGAATTTGTTTTGTAGAAACTGCGTACAAACACCTAAGGCTGGTCTTGAGCGTGCCTGTTTATGATGTCTTACGTCGAAACCGCGTGTGGTCTTTGAAATGTCTACATTAAATATTTCTTAGATGTTGATAAAATTACGTCTATATTTTTTTAAATACAAGTACAAGTAAAGCAACTTGTTAAGAACCATTTTAAAGTTTTTATTTATAAATAACAGGAAGATATTGTTATGTTGAATGATTGTTAAGTTATATTATCACATAATTTTATGAAATTTCTTTAACAAGCTTACATTAAATTATCGGTCATTTTTTTTGTATAAATCCAGTAGGAATAAAAAAAAGTTATTAAGCAATTACATACATTTTCATATAAAAACTTTATCAATGCCCTTGATGATATGTGATAAACAAAAATGCCTTATCTCCAATGCAGGTAATTTTCTCTGTGATAAATAAAATAACATATTTCTATCATAAACATACATTTATAGACACCAATATCCACATTATGGGTCACAAAAGTTATAATTATTCATGTGCAGAGCGCCTTATTCTAGTCATTTTTGTGTACCTTAGAAAAGGTTAGTAAGGGAAAAGGATTTAACATGGTAAATAAAAAAAGGTCCTTTTCACTGTAGGTCCATATTTTTATATTCAAAATATATTTTTAAATGGTATTGTGCGAGCCGGAATAAAATGTTTTTAGTAAAGTTTAATTGATAATTAAATTATTTAACTTTACTAAAATATACAAATTATACTAAAATACTACAAATGTTGGTGTGTGTTAATTGTATTAGTCACTTTGTCTTGTTAAAAATTAGATTTAAAGGTTTAGTAGTTATGGGTTTATCAAAAATGTGACGAAATTGTCACATTTGGAAAACTAATCATTAGTAATTTTTAAAATATTTACAGATAAATAGTTTTATGAATCAACTACTCTAACTATTCATTAATCCAACAAATTCTAAATAACTAACCAACTTTACCACACAACTGTGTGAACAAACACTTAGTCATACATTTTACGGTAAAAAATATTCCTATGGTGTATCACTTAACATTTGCCAACAGGTAATATTGTTAACGCAATGTTTTAGTATTCAAAACTTGTCTTTATTTGATACCTTGACATGTATTTAAGTGTGGGTTTCACTGCTGTGAGACATAATTAAATCATATTGCAGTCTCTATTTTGTCACAAAGATGGAAAAAGAAGGCTATATACAAGTGGCACAGCAGTACAACTTTAGGGTAATAAATGTTTTTATATAAATATATATATTATATTTATTTTTCTTTTATTTGTATGTTACAAATAAACTCAAAAAGTGATAGACACAATAACAGTCTTACTTAATCCTGCATGGACTACTCGTTGGGTAGAAGCTAGTATTTTATTAAATGAAAATGAATAATATCTTAAAGATACCACTAATACAGGTCACCCGAGACTGACCTAGCTCATCCAATTGCCATAGTATCAAATGTTGGAGTGGGCAAAATTAGATTTCCTGTATCCAATTACATGACAAACTAGGTCAATATGAACAAATATTCAAATTTCCGATAAAGTTCATAATAAGCAATTTGATTAAGTAAAGAATTATCTTTACTTTTGACTAATAACTGCTTCTGGCTCTGCTTGTAGACATTGAATCTATGCAAAAAGTGCAGATAAAAATTTATATTTTAATAGTGTACTAAGAGTTTAATTCAAGAATAGCTTATGTAGTAGTTTAATAGTTCGGTACAGTAGTTTTTGATTTCAAAGAATAAGTATTTAAAGAAACTCTTAGATTTTTTAAAACGTAGGAATGAATAGCACTGTAACAACATTTTTCTTTATGATATGTATAATATACAATGCACTATCCTTTAGTCGTTTACTAACAGTAGCTTATGTACTCTGGACGTTTCTTTCAAACCACTGCTCTTTCAACAGCACAAAAGAAATCTCAAAGTCATTGTAACATGGAAATATTGTTTTCAACGAACCCCCACTACTTTGACATTCAACTTTGCGGAAAATGTCACTACTTACCTTTTAAGTGTGGACAGTTACGTTGTTTTACTTACGACATAATGTCCTATAAGGCGCGACTCTATTGACAACATTCCAATAATGTGTCAATGTACTGTTAAAGATTAATTTATATAATAATATAGAAATAAGGTCATTATGAAATTGTTTATCGATGACGTACTTAACCATTGGTAATCACACAAAGAGATTAATCTATATAGTTATATAGAATGTCTGTATGTAATATCAAATAATATTACTATAGCATAAACCTACTTCAATTTATTTTTAAATTGTTTGTGTATCAGCAAATCCGTGTTTGTTCTGGGTAGTCTTTGAAACGGCTGGACCGATTTTGACGGGACTTTTACTGGAAGGTAACTGATGTGTGTTGGAGTAACTTAACTTCAAATCTAAAATATAACAAGAAAGATTTCTATGTATGTAACGAATAAACTCAAAAACTACTAAACCTATTTAGAAAATTGTTTTACCAATCTCGCATTTCGTGTATTGTTCATACAACATCTACACTAAGGGACAATTTAAGATACTTAATATTTCTGCACGCGGCATATGCAGTATCCCTGCTCTTTTAAGATATAATTTTTCATTTTACAGAGTTATGTGATTGTAAACGCATAAAATGCATTCGAAAATGACGTACATCAAAAATATTTATGCCTTAAATGTCGAAATCTGATCTTAAGTTGCCTTTTACGTGCCCATTTAAGGCGCTGACTCATTGCGGAAGACAAAGTTGACCTTAAGGTCGATTCGAGGACAATGGTCGCTTTACGGAAAAAAGTGCTAAATTAATCAAGTAAAAATAATTAATATTTAAATAAATATCTGTTGTTTATTATTACTTTAATTTAACTGTAAAGAAGACAATAAATATTAATTAAAATAAAAAATTTCATCCTCAATTATTACGCCTAATATGGTTTCTCTTTCAAATTATTTGCATAAGAACATATTACCGTCCCTCTTTTTCTCGCCGAAAAAATAGAGATAACAATATGTTTGTACAGTTGTGATTGTGACATTCTAAAGCCTAAATGGAGCGCCGTTAATGTGAGAAATTCGATTCTTATTTCACCGAAGACTCATAGTGAAGTAATCAAAGGCACTATTGCTTTATACTTGCATAGTAGTTGCCTGCGACTACGTCTGCGCAGGATTAAAAATCTAGTAATAATATTCCTGTCACTCGGGGATAGCATAGCTTTCCAACAGTGAAAGTTTTTTTTAAAATCGGTTTAGTAGTTCCTGAGCCTATTTAATGCAAACTTAAATTTCATTAATATTATTATAGATAAATACTAGTTAAGTATATACAACTCTTTATTGTTAGTAATAGTCAATAAAACATTGATTTTTTTGCTCGTTTGTATGCAAACTTT